CATTCAGTTATTCATTCATTCATTCATTCATTGATTACTTTCATTTCATTTCATTTTCATTTCATTTCCTTTCATTCATTCATTCTTTCGTTCGTTTGTTCGCTCGTTCATTCATTCATTCATTCATTCATTTATTCATTCATTCATTCATACATACATTCATTCATTCATGCACTCGCTTTCTTCATGGGTGTATTGCTTTTGATATTTGCAAGCATCAAACCCTGAAGAGTGATGCAGCCCATGTGGTAGTGCAGCACACAACTGAATCATGTGGCTTGTGCAGTGCCTACAGCAAGCTGTAGCCAGTGGTGAACATTGTTTGGAAAGGGCTTGGTTGTTGCACCCACCCCCTTATTGGCCCAAGTGCCTATTTCCAGCTTGTGGGGCTGTGGTGCTGCCCAGTTGGTAACTGGTTGGCCGAATCCAGCTGCCAACTGGGAAACGATGTGTTACAGATCATTGGAGAAAAAGTATGCTTGCCTGTGTGATGCTAGCTAGTGGCTGCATGCATGTATGAAAGGTTTCATTCGTTCATTCATTCCTTCTGTCATTTGTCAGTTCATTCATACATTCATTCGCTCATTCGTTCAACCATTGTTTCATTCAACTCGTGCTTTCAATGATTCGTTCATTCATTCATTCATTCACTCATTCATTCACTCATTCATCCATCCATCCATTTATTGATTCAATTAATCATTCATTCGTTGTTTGATTCATTCATTTGTTATTTCATTAGTTCATTCGTTCTTTCATTGATTTGTTCATTTGTTCATTTGTTCATTCACCGATTCTTTCAATCATTCGTTATGTCAGCCAGTCAATTCTTCATTCAGGAGTTCAATCATTCGTTCCTTCATTCCTTGATTCCTTCTTCACACGTCCAGGGGCTCATGCATTCATTCGTCTGCTTGCTCAGTCAGTCAGCCAGTCAGTCGGTCAGTCATTCCATATCATTCCAGTACCATCTCAAAAACCATTGGCTCATTCCCTGGTGCACCACGCAGCTTCAATTTTTCATTGCTTCTGCATTTCAACGACAAACACATCGGCGATTGATTTCTTACAGTCATCGTTTCTTGTCGAAACTTCCCCCCTGGCACGGCCTGGCACTTTTCTGGCCTACACGTATTCAAATTCGCCGGAGCCACACTTCTACTTTCCAAGGGGGTGTGAGCACGGAGGCAGATGCTACGAGAAGTTCGCCTTCCAGCAGGTTGGGCCGCTCTGTCCTTCAAGGACATAGCAGGACGCATGGTCAGAGTCCCAGCAGCTAGTCGCGCTATGCCATGGCATTGTCTGTGAATGTTGTGTTCAGCGGCCGGATTCATTTGATGGCAATACATCCGTTGCCAATCATAATTCGTCAAAAGATGATGAGTTTGCATATGTTTCCACCAATTTGTCTACATGCCACAGAAGCATAAGCATAACGATGAGGATGCTGTTGCATCACATCGCCGACGCATTGTGTTTCACCATGTCAAGCCCGCCTCCTGGCGAGCCCCATGCAGGTTGTGAGCGAAGTGCCAAAAGCATGTTTCTCTTCTGCCGCCTATGGTGCGGCCGCTGCCCCGCAGGCAAAGCTGCTGTTGTGGTCCGTTTGTTGCGCCAGCTTCCAATGATGAAAAAATATCCTTCGATGGGCATGCCTGAAAAGAGGGTATGCCCCCCAAATGACGATGTCAAATTTTGCTTTGTGCGTGAGCCAGGTCTCCAATGTGCTGGCCTGAGATGGTTGTTTTCATGGCGCACCCCGCTGTTCCTGGGCGTGCGGCCGTCACTCAGGTGGCCGTTGGTGATGAGATCGCCAGGCGCCCAGCAGCTTCACGGGTTCCAACCCACCCATGGCCTTCCTTGTGTGCTGAGGTATCCGTCAATGGCCACAGCCCAGCTGCATTGGCGCAGCTCATTGCTGAGCCAAATCATCGCTTCAACAGCTGTAGCAGCTTTGATCCGCCACATATACCTGGCACTGCCCGGCATCCCGGTGATTGTTTGGAACTGAAGTGGTTTCATGGATTTTGCCCAACTCATGCCATGCAAGCATCACACAAGCCAAATGGCTACATGACCTGGAAGCGGATTGTTTAAAGATTCGCCCAAAAAAAATGCTATTCTTCCTAGCCCTTCTAGATTTGGAAGGTTGTGACGCAGGCGTTCGAAGAGAACAGCCCTTGGTGTGACATTCGCCATTTACCGTTGTCGTTTGGGTTCAGGTCGGGAAGTTGCAATCCCCTTGCTGCGTTTCTTGTGACTTCATCCGGCGACATCAACACTTTGGTCTGGACGCTGGGTCGGCAATTGCATTGGCGGGGTGGCATATGAAGTGATCTTGGCGCGGTTGAACATTCAAAATATTCAAACTTTCTAAGCCAGCAGGCAGAGGTCAGCTTTAGTATTCAGTATCGAAATATAGCCACATTGTTGGGCGCCCAATTCAAGCGAGGTGTTGCCAAGTTTGGATGTTCAGCCTTCATCCTATCATCTATCCTATCCATGCCCCGTTTTTTTCCAATCCAAGCCCTTTGGACTTCGGGTCGGGCAGGACATTGCTTTGCAGATGTGGCTCCGTGTGGTGAAGCAACTGGGCAAGCAAATGGTGATGGAAAAGCACCTGCAACGTCATGCCCCATGGCCAGCTGGCTAAGTTGGTGTATCTGTATCAAAGGACACTTAGTCAGCAAACTTCCGAGTTACGGACGAATGTCAATGGTCAGTCTTCACGTCATCATGCCAACATATGCCAACCACGCAGGTAGAACAGCAGCTGGTAAGTGCAAGCAGCAGATCACAGTAACAGTCCAGGAGAGTGTGCATATATGCGTGTGAAGAATGGAAGTGCTCAAATCATTGTGTCTTTACAAGCGTATGTTGGCTCCGGGGGTCTCCAAGGGAGGGTCTGCGTTTTCACAATTTTTGGGGCTTCCTATATTCTGGAAAAATTGCGGACAAAATGCGCACGAGCCTGTAGCGAGAGCTCGGTTTTCCAAAAATGCGTTTCTCATTGAATGGTCCGGCCACATGAAGATGAGGTCGGAAAAATGCGCACGAGACAGTGTAGCCTGTGCTTCTCGCTGCATGTGCGCACCACTTTTGGAAGATGAGGTTGGAAAAATACGCACGAGACTGTAGTGAGCGCTTGCATCGGTGCCCTGCGGGACCCCAACTAGGCGTGACACAAGTCAATGGCATTGCTGCGTGCAGGAGAAAGCCTTAGTCATACTGGGGGACGCTCCTGCTTTGCGGGACTGTAGCTAGAAGTTGCTAAACGCACTGTAACCGCTGCCACGCTGCCAGACCGATAGTTTTTGGGCATGCTGTGACCCGCCTAGTGCTTTGCGGGAAAGGAAGTAGCTGAGGGCAGTCCCTCAGAGCAGAAGTGGGTCAGAGAAGACATTAGCCAGATAATAGGTCCCTCAGAGAAGAAAAGAGGTGCCCCAGAGAAGCGGTAGCTCAGCGACGAGGTGGATCATTGATAGCCAGTCGGTCAACCATCCAGACATGCAGTCATAATCATGATTTCATTTTCTGTTCGTTCAATGTCCGCCCATTCCTTCATTGCAGCACTCATGCACCAATGCATTGCAATGCATTCATCCATCAATTCATGCATTCATCCATCCATTCATGCATTCATTCTTGCGTTGTTTTTCACGTCAATTATTTCATTTGCTCTCGTATCATTCCATTGCCATCTCACATTGCCATCTCACAGGCCATTGGCTCATTCATTGATGCACCTCGTAGCCTCAATTTTTCATGGCTTCTTGCATTTCAAAGACGAACATAGTCGCCATTGATTTCTCGCACTCATCGTTTCTTTTCGAAACTTCTGCCCTGGCGGACGACCGCTCGCTTGTACACCCCAAATTTCACTCGCTTGTGCAACCGCTTTTTCCCTCGGTTGTGCGCCCATCATCATCATCATCATCACCATCATCATCATCATCATCCTCATCCTCATCCTCATCCTCATCATCCTCATCATCCTGATCACCATGATCCTCATCATCATGATCTCACCAACAGCACCACCACCACCACCACCATCGTCAGCATCAGCATCACCTCGGCGGTCTCAGATGTTTACTGTTGATTCCAGTTTGGGAACACGACGAAATCAAATTGAACCTACCTCTACATGCCGTTTGGTATTGAATGCTTCATCTTGCAACAATTGCAGGCCCCAGTGACATGACAACACTGTGCAAATATGAAAGCGCAGTGCCTATGTCAGCGCGACAACGGGAAAGATGATGAGGTTGCTGTGCCTGCGCGCGCGCAGGAACGTAGACGCTATTGCCCCACCCCACCCCGAACGATGATGAAAGTGCAGTGCCTGTGTCCAGCTGGAAAGATGATGAGGGCGCGCAAGTGAGTGAAATTTTGGGTGCGCAAGTGAGTGCGTGGCCGCCCGGGCATGGCCGGGCACTACTGTTGGCTCACATGTTTAGGACTATGGCATACATATGTATAGGTAGCGGGAACTACGAACCATGTCTAACTGGGGGGCACCTCGGTGTATATGAATCAACTTTTTGAAGCACTCTAAGCTGCAGATTGTGTAAGCGAACAGTTGTTAGCTGTTAGTATGCAATTGGTTTGGCACTCCTTGTGTGGGCGAACATGTTTGGCAGTTTTTTCTGTCCATTCGCACAAGAGGATGATTTGAGCCAAATGATGGGCATTCCTGAATGGTCCGTCAGGACAAGAACCATCAATGGGATCCAAAACATTTGGGTTTCTGGACCAGTTTTTCTTGATCATGAGCGTACGTCAAGAGATTGGATGATACTAGCAGTATGGCCCGGTCACTAATTGAAATAAACAGCTGATCAGCCTTCGCTAGTAACAATTTTAAATAAAGCAACTAGCAGCTATGAAAATCCAACTGCCATCAAGTGAAATTAACAACTAGCAGTTGGTTATCCACAATTGTTTATGAATACATTGATGGCACACATGCCTGCAATATGTCCGCTGGCTGCAAACAGGCAGCAGGTGCCCATTACCTTGGGAGTTGCAAGCTCAGGATGAGACCCGTGACCTGGGATACAAATCAACATGGCCTAGTTGCAGTGCCTGGGTTGAAAGGGAAATTCGAAGGAAAAGGGGAATAACAACTGGTTGGTGGTTTGGAACATGAATTTTATTTTTCCATATATTGTGAATGTCATCATCCCAACTGACGAACTCATATTTTTCAGAGGGGTAGGTATACCACCAACCAGACAATGTACCAGCATTTGTTCCTAGATTTCCTTCAACCCATCCCAAAACTTCAACTCATTGTGGGCAAACGCCCAGGTGCTGCCAAAGACACACCACGACCACCACGACACGCCCAAGCCGTCGAACCCCAGTTCAGCTCCAAAGATGAGCACAGAACCCCTGCAGCTGGTGGTTCCAAAGGAGGCCACAGGTGGTGGAGAAGTTGATTATGTTTAGATATCATTCTATCATTCTGCAGATATGTGTGAACAACCGTTTTTTAAGACTTGCTGCACATTTTTAGATGTTCAGATATGCAAAAAAATGGATATGCTGGTATGAACATGTTCTAAACATATCTAATCTACAATATATATATATGTTGTAAACAAAACTGTGTTTTTTTGTCGTTGTTTTTGTTTTGTTGCTGATAGTCAGCTAATGAAATCTGAACTGTGCAAGCCCTTGGGCCCTTGGAGGCGAAGCCGAAAGCAGATGTTCCGAAGGCTTTCGTGGCTGGTGGGGGACGTCAAGACAAGGGCTGCCATGGCCCAAAAGCCGTGAATTTTTGGGCCCAAAAACAAAGTGTGTACCCTCTGGTAAACTAACATAGCTATTGAAAATGACCATTTATAGTGGATTTTCCCATGAAAAATGGTGATTTTCCATAGCTATGTTAGTTTACCAGAGGGTAATGTGTCAACAGCTTTGAATTTATGAATTTGAAGTAAAACATAACTTTGTGGTCATTTGCTGCTCCTTTCTTTTTGAGAAGTGATTAGGGATGGTTAAGTACCCCTACAATTGCATAGTGATGATAGTGATGACACGGAAAGATCAGCTGATCTTCCAGAAAAGTTTCAAGTTTCAGACGAGACACAGCTGCTCTGAGGCTATAATCCTTTGAAGCCAGCAGCAGCTGGAGAAGCCCCCTCAGCAGCCACTGCCATGTCACCATGTCACAATTGCCAATTTTTACAGTTGATGAACTGGTTAGCCAGATTTATTGAATCTATGACACGGTTGTACTGGAAATAGCCATGAAACCAATGGAAATTGAAAAATGGTTTAAAAATTGCAATTATTAACATTATGGGGCTATGGGGTCCTTCATTGGATATATTGAATATGAAGAGGAAAGGATTCCTCAGCCGCTTGTGACACTGCTGCTCAGCCCTTGTAAGGTAGCGCGGTCCGTGGCATCTGCGAAGCCAAAGGCTAGAGTCATTGAGTCTCAGATGTTGATTTTTAAATTTGCGGTGCCATTCTGGGTTTTGAAGGTGAGTTAGGGCTCCCAAACTGCTGGCCTCCTACGATTTCTGATGGATTTAGGTAAAAAAAAATCTCTAATCAGTCTGGAATTGGGTGCACAAATGTTGAGAAACTGTCATGGAGCCCGATGTTTTTTTGGAGCATGTCCTATACGCTGATCCCATATCAGGCCAATGCCGCATCTGCAGTGGAGCCGGACTCAGATCAGGGATGCAGCGCAGCAACAGGTGGCAGATCTTGGTTCTATTTGCCTTTTTTTGTTGCGGAAATTGCAACATATTTTACTATGTTCATATCTTTATATATATATACATACATATATACATATTATATATTATATTATATATATATATATTTATATATACAACATCCATATTCTATGCACATGTGCATATATGTATCGTTGTTGCTGAGTTAACCCATAGTTTTTGATGACACACCTCCTTTCTTTCGTATGACCGTTTGAGATCTCTTTTTCAGGTGATCTCAGTGTCCTGTTTTTGGATGTTGCGGCCGCTCTGCGAGGGGCCCATGCAGCAGTTGCCCAATGGCCTATCTTTCCAAGAGCTTCCAGCCAAAGGACTGGAGGGATCGGTGAGATATACCTGGCTGGTGGGGTTGAGAGCGAAGGTGGCTCTGGAGAATTCCTGAATAACGCTGATTTTTGCATGGATTCTAGATGGTTCTAGATGATACCCTCCAGTAAAGTAACATCAATGTGGAAAACCCACCATTAGTAGATTGCATTCTTAGGGAAACCGTGGGTGTTCCACATGTTTGTGTTAGTTTACCCGACAGTATTCCATGGTATTCCTTTTCCAAGTCTGATCATTTTCTACTGCCATGCTACATGGGTGGTGTAGTTTAGCCCCCTTAATGTGCAAAAATTGTCCCGAGTCCAATATGAATAGATTCAACACATCCCACCAGGATGGGATGAGTTTACCCAGTAAATGAAATCCGACCCTGCCATGAGTTGTGGGGTAAATCAACTGTTGTCTTCTGCTCTCCTGGCAGTGCTTGGATTATTACCGTGGAAGGTTCACCCGGTGGACCGCAAAGATCATCATACATTGGGTTTGTCGAACATGGGGCCTACGATTACCCTCTGGTAAACGTTTACAGTTTGCTATTGAAAATGGCCCATTGATAGTTGATTTACCTATGAAAAATGGTGATGTTCCATAGTTCTGTGGCTGTTTACCAGAGGGTAACCAGTGATTTTGTTGGAGCCTATGTTCAATGATTTCAGCCAATGACAAAACCATTTTGGGGAGATATTGCCTATGGACCTTACCCTAACTATGGAAAATCACCATTTTTAGTGGGTAAATCAACTATAAATGGCCATTTTCCATAGCTATGTTAACTTACCAGAGGGTAGCTAGGTATGTTTATGCACCTTCCAAATTTCAGCACCTGCAGTAGGTTCCTCATTACAGGAGCTGTGACTGCTGGAAAAGGAGCTTCAGCCTTGGAGTTTGGCAGCGATTTATGGCTTTTCATTGGTACAAAATTGTTCTGCAAAAGCCAAGAAATCTACAGCTGGGACTAGACCATGGTTTGAGAAGATAACTATGGCGACTGTAAAATGAAAGAGTGACATGTTGGCCAACGTATGCCACATTGGCTCCGACTGTAGTAGTGAGGCAAGCATTGGAAGCGAGGCCAGGCTCTGAGCCGATTTGTACTCGTCCATAGCTCTCCTCAGCTCCAAATGAAAATCCTCCAAAGATATTGGGATGAGAAAAATGATCTCCACGACATTAACCATATATTAACCATAGATTAACCATAGATTGTCACCATTAATCTTCAAAGAAAGGCAACACTTATCGGGCGATGACAGAAAGCAACGAGTCATCCAGGTCGATTTCCGCTTCACCATTTCATTTCCGGGCGTTGGGAACAAGCAGCAGGCTCGCTTGAAAACGAATGCATCCAACAATTCTGATTTTCCCGGAAACGAAGTGAGTTGGATTTGACGACTTGTGTGTCACCCAAACATCTCATCTTATCTTTGGATACTGGATTTTGGATGATGTTTGAAATCTGCCATTCCGTGCCATCTTTGGGTTTCTAGAACAAAGAACAGATGAGAAAAAGGCAACCTGCAACCCTGCCGTGATTTCGTCAAAAGGTTCTGGAAAGAGGACAAGTGTTGCGACCCCAGTTCTGGTTCTGAGTGATGAGGATCACGATTCTAGTGATCCCAAAAAAGATAGAAAAGTAAAATCGTACTAAAGTAGTGATAATGTACTAAATTCTATCTTTTTGGGTAACTATAGTTGAAATCTTATATACTGCAAAGTTCCAGCTGAGGTTCGCTAAAATGTTGGGAATTAGAACTATGTCCCCATCATCACTCAGATATTCAATGATATTGATGTTTGGGAAAAATGATAGATGGGTGTTTCAGGGAGTGAGGGTTCAGTTGTTCGGTTGAGGTGTTTTTCTTCAATGTTCCAATTGTAAATGCCTGACTCTTGTGTTTTTGTTGCGTTGCTCAATGTTTGTTTTGTTGCGGTCGTTGGGATTTATGTATATATATATATATATATATGTAGATGCCAGTGTTGAGCGAGAGCCAACTTCAACCCTTAGCCTAGCCCGTTTCCCAAAAAATCCAACGGGCAACCCAGACACAAAACTACTTAAAAAATTGCCAGCTGATAGAGTAAGGAGTTCATGCCAGAGGGTATAAGATTGAAACATTAAACAGAGAGGTTTGATGTCAAACATCAATCCGACAATCAATTCAATCGATCGCAACATCCTCAACAAACAATTCTTGCCGAATATAAAACTACTGGAAGATACATCCACTACCAATCATACTATACTCGATATATATAAATAAATTATACTATAGACTTTATATAGATTATAGATTATCCATAACAGAATCATATAGATTATACTAGATACTATAATGGAACGCTCACAGCAGATTGTGTCAGATTAGCTTTTATATCTTTTATCACCCAAGAAGGGGAATAGGGGTCTCTAACTTTCAGAGGGGAAAACCCAAAGAGGTTGAGCACCAAATTCAACAAAATCAGGCAGACTATGGACTGTGCGAACATGTTCTTAGATTTTTTGGTTGAGCGAATATTATTGTTTGTTCCTTGATGTTCCTTTTTAATCCTTTTTACATAATATCATACTCCACGTACAAAAGACTGACGCTGAAGATTTCAAATTCTCTCGTCGCGTCGCTTTGTTCTTCTTTTCCTTGGCTAAAAATTGTACGTGTCTCTGGCGGACATCGCAATTTGTAGTTCTTCCTTGGGTTGTTTTACAAGCTCATGTGATGCCTTCATCCTAGAACTTTCTGACCCCTGACTGGAACGCATGGTCAGAAAGTCCCTATAAACAGACATTGGAAAACCATGGAAAACCTATGTTCTTGAAACTTTCCTGCAATTCTGATAAGGCGTTTGCTCCGTTCTTTTCCTTCATAGGGACGACATTGGCCATCTTGCTGTCGACCGGAACTTTCACCTCTGGAACTTCTGTTAGGGGGTTCATATCCATTATGTCAATTTGATACTCAAACCTTGCGAATGGTGCGGCGTAGGAGTTTGAACCCCTGTATTTTCAAATATGTTTGTTGGGATGTTTCCTCACAGAGTTTTCCACATTCACCCTGTTAATCGGTTGGTCTTGTCGTGTTGCTTTGCTTTCTTGCGGGTCTCATTGATTGAACCGAAACCTGTTTCAAGATTGTAATAAACATTGCTTATGATGTCATTTCTTGAATGTCCCCCGGCCATGTATCTTGAAATGATCAACACTAAAAATTATACTTAAAGAAGTAGAGATTTATGATAGTCAGAGATGGAACAAATCAAAGAACTACCAATTGGCGTACCAGTGAACATGTTGTCTTTTCAAATGGGAGACTCTGTGATGATGAAAATACAAAGAGTGACACAGTTTAGAAAGCAGTGTGCCGTTTTGAAAGATGAGTTTGTTGGACACTTCCACTGTATGAATATGACAAAGGAACAAACTTGAGCACGACAATTTGAATTGGAAAAGAATAGACTTACAGACAATGGTATAGAAATAGATAGAAATAGAAACTGCAAGTGAAACAGAAGACTAAATACGTACAGAAAAGAATACTTATATATATATATACATATATATATATAGAGTTATGGAGATAAGATGACTAAGTTTGACTGCGGATGTCGTACAATGAGTGTGTGCATAAATTTGGACAGTGGCGATTTCAAAAAACCCAATTAAGGTTATTTAGTGAAAACCTTCGTGAATGTTTGGGGGAAGTGCTCCTAGAATTGTGGAGATGAAAAAGTACTGTAACGAATGGAATTTACTTATGAACTTTGAACTCGAAGAGGCAGATACATACTTTGACCCTTAGCAGAGCTGATCTCAGTTTGAATGATTTTGAGAGGCTAAGAAACTTTGCCAGTGAAATAGACCCTAATGAAGGAGTGAGTGGAATTGATATGGTTATAGATTTGTAAAGGAAGTGGATCAGGAGGAAAGGGAAACAAAAGTTAAAGAGTATTTGAAGAAATATTCACCAGAAAAAAGAGATGCTTCACTGGATGAAGCCCTTCATACACCAAGCAATACTGAAATTGCACAACAAATACCATTATTGAAGAAAGCAATGAAGGAACTGGAAGAAGAGGAAAGGGGAAGTGAAAAGCAACCAGAACCCGAAAACTGAACAAGACCCCAAATCACTCAAAGATAAAATACCTATCTACAATAAGAGAAAAATGTGTAAAAATTGAGGGTTCAAAATTTCACAATGTAGATGATGATCTGTAAAGTGTCATCCTATGCCTTCACCAGATGATGAGAAAGAAGACAAAGTTTGGAGGAAAGTAATTGACACATTGAACGGATAGTTCCTGAAGGAGTAAATGGTATGGTAATCTTTGTGTTTGCCAGATTTGACATTATGAGAGAGATGCACGAGAACCTCACGGTACTCATTGACTGTGGTAACTCAACAGTGATCAAAGCGAAAAAAACTCACGTGGATGGGATCGAATAGGGAAGTGGGAAGCATAAGAATGCTTATATATAGAAGTCATATTTTTCGATAGCATACACACACATATATATATATACATATACACACACACACATATATATATATACACATACAGTATGAACTTATCTTTAAACAAACATAATTGAAAAACCTACCAGCCACAACAACTGCCCTCCCTCGTTCAAGCCAAACATTGACACCTCACTTCAGCATCAAATCTTCCCAAAACTCCATCTGAAAAAATATCAATTGTAAGGAACAAACATTGAACACCATTAATTCAATGGAGATTTCAGGATCCTAAAATGAAGGTACTGTACCATATAAGGCCATGTTTTGTGGGGATATTCCCTTATATAGGCCTTATATATGGGAGGTACCTCCCATTTAGGATCCTGAAATTCCCATTGATTAATAAGATTATAACAAGCAACATAGCAGAGATGACCTGAAATCGGACGAAAATCCAGTGGAGATCTTTGCTGGTCGGGGCAAGGCCGGGCAAGGGTCATGCTTCCGTTGCCTCTAGGCAATGCATCTTGGGCCAAAGCGAGCTGAAAGATGGATGGGTTTGGGCCCCCAGGCCCTCACGACGACTTCCAGATGTCCAGATGTAGCGACTGAAAGGTTGGGTGGTAGCCTGTCAGAATGCCAAAAATATAAAAAACATGTACAACTCTGTGGGTAATACTTATATTCTATGCAGCGATATATGTGCATAGATATACAATATATATACATATATTATCATATATTTATTTTTTTATATTTATATGATACTATATATATATATATAAACTGTATATATTGTGTATATATATATATATGTTTGTGTGTGTTATATATATATGGATACATATATTATATAGATACTATATAGATATGGATATACATGTGTGTGCATGTCATTTAGGCCTTCCAAGAGTCGATGCCAGGTGGATGGCAACGTGGACCTGGAACAGGTCTTAAGCACCTGGACTAAGGCCTTGACGGGCATGAGCGCCTTGGCTGTGGATGATGAGGCTTAGTTCATGGGATTCCCAAGTCACCATGGGGTGAAATTTGATGAAATTTACCATCTGGTTATTTAACATAGCCATGGAAAATCACCATTTTTAATAGGTAAACCATCTATAAATGGGCCATCTATACCATGGCTATGTTAAATAACCAGAGGGTAAGTCTAATTTGAGGAAACCTCCGTATATTTGGCGAATTTTGTTTTGGTGAATTTCCCTTTGGCAAAATGCTGGGCACCCTTTGGCTGCATCAACTTGGGTTGTCGTTTTCATCTGATGAGTCCTGAGCAGCAACTGCTTGATCCTAGGGGTCGGACATCGGCGCCGGGTTCATGTTCCCTCGCGCTTTGGCTTTGATGCAGAGGCAAGGGGCCACGCGATGAGTGCCATTCTGAATGAAAAATCAATGGAGATATCTGGTCTGCCAACAAGTTTCCATTTTTTCAAGACTCCTTCCATCAAGATGTTGCATACATGTTTAGGCAATCACCTGACTCACAAAATATCTGTGAGCCGGGACCTTGGCCTTATCCAAATGGTGAATTCACGGATCAGATTCGCGTTCAGCGTTGTTTCAGGTGGTGCCATCCGGGAAGGACTTGATCTTTGAGGTTGACATGAAGGGAGTGAAATGAGAGCCAAATCGCTTGGTCAAAAAGGTCGCGCTCTCACTTTGTCATGCAAGTGGCACGGGAAGGAAAGACACTTGTGCTGGGATGCCCCCAGTGTTGGAAGGGTTGGCAAACTTATACCAGCCATTTCTGCTGAAATTGGGGATTGTTTGTCATTGGGGCTTCCTATATTACTGCATTTGTTGGCCAAAGCACGGTTGTCACAGGATCTGAAAGAAGAATTGGTGGGATTTCCTTGGTCGCAGTCAACTTTGTGGCTCCACTGCTCATGAAACCTCAACATCCATCCAGATGTGCAGCAATGATCATATGTCACCATTAAGACTTAAAGACCCCAGATTTCACAGCACTTGGAGCACTAAAGAAAAAACCCGTAGCCCTGCGGTAGAAAGAGCTGATGGCAAGTGGAATCTTGGTATGGCAGAACGTGAAAGGAACTGGAGACATGATGCCGTTTTCCTTCAAATATCGGGCGAAAGCAGCCAATTAACTATACATTTTTTCTGTATACATTTTTGTATGTACACAAACTCTGGGTTTTGCTTGGGCTGGGTTGGGCCAATAAAAAGTTTCAGATAGAGTTTTCAGGCGCAGATTCCTGAAACTTGGGGCCAGCTGTGCAACTGAGGACAGCCCGTAGCCGTATCTACAAAGGCAGCTGCGAAGGTGCCAAACTTCCAGTTCTGGTGCGAAGGTTGATGAAATGCTGTAAGATCTTGAGAACCTGAGCTAGGCGATATGAAGGTTTCCATATATAGGAATACCCCAATAGCTCGATGGTTTATCATGGAAAAACCTACTAAAATGGATGATGACTGGGGTTAGCCCTGTTTTAGGAAACCTCCATATCGATGATTGAATGTGATTGGATCATACTGAAGTCTGGAGATCCTGGAGCTTGATGATCCTTGGTTTGCTGCACCCGGTGCCAGGGGAAAGGCAAAAGTTTCAACGGTTATGGCGAGGATCCAAAGAATGAGATGAAAGATAGGCACTGATGGTTATGAGCCGTTCGAAAAGCGAAGGGAACTTGAAGGGAACTCATGGCAAGGCTGACTTTTCAATGAGGCCAGATAGAATCCACGCAGAAACTCTCTCAAAAGTCAGATTGGTGAGTGACCAGCGATTAGTCAAGCAGCACCAGATATGTTGTGTCTATATAGATCAGTATAGATCGTATATATATATATATCATATCTGAAAGGTTTTGGATCAGAGCTACCCACGCACGCTCGATCCTCCAAGCCTTAGCGGGTCAACTTCGCTGGCGACCCGCGGGCCCATATCGTTTGTGGGGCCTTTGCGACAGCGGTGGTCTTTCTTTGCGCTCATCATCCTGAACGGCTGGGGGTGCACTTTTTGAAACAAGAGCTCTTTGGCCAGGTGTTGTACATCGGCTACGGCCAGGTCTTGTATGGTCTTCAAGATACTGTTCCTCTTTGCGATCTTTCTCTGCGAGGACCAGTACGACTTCAGCAAGGCGCAGGTTGCGGCGCCAGCGAGCCAAGGCGAGACAACTTTGGCATTGGCACAGGCGCGGAATCAGGACCCTGGGCAGGAAACAGCTGCAAAGGGTGTTTGGTGTCCTACAAAGCCATCATTCGAGAGATCATCAATTTCTACGCTTGGTAGCTGCAGAGATGGCAGAATCAGATGTAGATTGGAGATGCACAGCTTGCTGGAGGACAAACAAGGCCAATACATCGAAGTGCGCTCGGTGCGGCATCAAATGGACGCATGGTTGCGATCCAAACTATGTGCCTCAAAAGCACCCCAAGAGCCCGAGGAGATGGAACTACTCAGGTTGGAACGCACAAACCAACTGGAAGGATTGGGAGAGCTCTCATTGGGGAGACGGTTCCAATCAATACCAGAGAGCCAAAACTCCGAAAGACAAGCACAGAGGCAGCACACCTCGGAAGCGCAATGCGGGTGGCAAGAAAGAGAAACACGCCCAGTACAGCGCGCCGGAGGTGGAGCCGCCATGGAATGCAAACTATTCGGGAGGACCATCAGCCTCTACAGTTGGAGAAGATTCTTCGGCAGTTCAGGAGAAGTTGGTCATTTTGGCGACAGCGGTTCAGGAGTCCAATGCGGCAGTGAATTCCACTGCAAGGCAGATTGTGGAGGAGTATTCCACACCGGTGCCGACGGCCAAGGGATTGAAAGCAGCGGTGGACAAGATGGACAAGGCGCGCAAAAAATTGAAGGATGCGGAGAAAGCGAGACTGACGATGCATTCTTCGTGGAGAAAATACATAGCAGACTCCTTGCAAAGGCGGACGCAGTTTGCAGAAAAATTTGGCCGAGACGACCAAGAGCTTGCAGATCGTGTTCGAGCAGCAAGAGAGAAACTGCAGAAAACGAAAGAAGATGTGGATGCCAAGAAAGCTGCACTAGAGGATCACGATGGGGAAGACCACATCGACATCTCCGACGAGGACATGGCGGAGAAGGTGGACAGCTCCGAGAACATCCAAAGCAGCCTCACGCACATGGTGGAGAATTTACTCGCTATGAAGCAACAGGCGGACGCAGCGATCATAGAGGCGAACGAGAACAAGGCGAAGAGGCAGCGCACAGACAACAACGGGGATGGAGAACTTCCTGCTGGGGGCGGAGACTCCTCAATGCCTGGGTCTGGAGCCAAACCTTCTGCCCTTCAGCCTTTTGCCAAGCCTGGCAAGTAGACTCATATCGAGAGACTTGCTCAAGGCATTTGGCAGGTTCTTTGGCAGCTCAAGAATCACATGTCATTCTGGGCTGGAACCACAGTTTTGTCCAAGATCCGGAGTTTCAAACACCATGGCAGGCATCAATCAGAGGGTTGGATTTAGCTTGGGAAGTCGGCATGATCTTAGCAAATCCAACTTCTTCTTTTTCCAGATCTTCGCCGGCACGCAAACACCAAAGTGCAGGATTTCATCAGGTAACCTTTGCAAAGTATGTGGAGTTCTATGTGGGCTTTGAGGACACCGAGCACTATGTGAAGGAGACCTATGCGGCGGAGAATTTTAACCATCAAGTACACCTTCGTGAGGTCACCCAAAGACTCTTCGCTGGATCTGAGATGAATCTAGAGGACGAAGAAGCCTCTGATGAAGTCTCATGGATGTCTGCAGGAGTTCAACAAGACCAAGGTGAACTGCAACCTTTTTTGAATCGCGATGCGACAAGGGCAGTCGACATGCCAGAAGTCGCGCGCCAAGGAGATGAAGTAGAGATGGAGATTGAGGCAGAGATTTCACCATCAGACCCAGAGGATGGCAGTGGATCCGAGACTGACTCCTCTGAAGGGCAAGAGGAACGACATTCCACTTTGGCATATTTCATGGATTATGACCCAGTGCATTGCCGACCTCGATGGCGAACCTATGAGCTGCTTCACCAAGACATTGCGTATCAAGCTCGAATGAGTCACCACGACGTGAGTAGAATCAACATTGTAGGGCATCCTCCAGAAGATCTACAAATGGCAAGTGCGAGACCAGTCATTGTGCAGCAGCCGCAAGATGTGACAGAAGGGTCCACATTTCAATTGATTCTTCTGGATGTGGAGTTCCACAATGCTATGCCTTCTCTGGAAGCAGAGACAGTGAGGAGAGCGAAGCTTCTGCCAAAAACTATTTCACGCAAAGCACTGTTGGCCGTTCTTGGGCTTCAACCTTTCTGCACTTATGCAAGACAGGCATGTCTCATGTGGCACAACCGGAAGCCAGTGAAGATGCAGGGCAGAGCACTTATTGATCTGCGTCATGGGGACTATTTGAAGATCGTGGTCCCTCCAGGAAGAGGTGAACTTCGCAAGTACTACACTCGAGAGGTGGCGCAATGCATGCGACGTGGCTATCGAGCATCCAACATTCCAGTTATCCTCGAAGCCAATCCTGAAGGAATTGACGTGACAGACATGCCGGTCTATGACACGTTCGCCTATGTCCCCAAGCCAGAGGACCTAGACTATGACAAGGATGCCATGGCACTGTTCCAAATGCCAGGCTACCATGTTCCGCCAATGGATCCGTGGCCCAACTTTCTTACCAGATCGTGCGAGGCGCCCATTGAGGAGTTCATTTACAACCTCAAGGTTGGAGAGCGAGATCGACAAGAGGCACGCTCTTATGAAACCTCCAACGGGACGCAACCAGAAGTAGGACGACCGCAGTTAGCTTTTGGCAATGAACAGCACTTTCTGCAAGAATTTTTTCCAGTGTGGCATCATTTTGCGGCTGTGGAACGTGAGGATGAAGGGAGAATCCTCTATGCACGAACATGGTACTCAGACCATGACCGTTTCCCAGCGTGCGAAGTTTCTCGTTCAGCAAGGTTGACATCAGATATCTCTAGCTGGTTAGATGCCCTAGCAGAGACGTGGGATGACCGAGTTGATCCAGATGTAGAACTCGACTTCTACCTCATCGTACCAAGACCCAGAGGCCCGACAGATGTAGGAGACCCAGCAGTTCCGCATGTTCTTATTGTGCAACACCCCCGACATGACAGCAGAAGCGTACACGTCTTTGCGGTGGATGCCACGGATGCGGGAACGACAGCAAGGTCTTTCGTCACGGTCATGCCCTTTCCCTTGCGGAAAAGTGATTTTCTGGACTTGCTTGGCATTCGAGATGAGACTTTCATTGAGAGCTTGGTGGATTGTGCAGTTTGGCATGGGATGTTGAACTTGATCATGCGCAACAGTACAAATCAGGCATGGCTTGAGTTTCATTGTGATCCAGAATCAATTAAGGGACATCATCGCCAGAGCAGCCAGAACACCTTCAGCAAGCTCATCGTCCACAGCACTTCTGCAAGTACACCAACAGCGACGGGTGATATTGCTGGATGAGCTCATTACTGAGGACGAACCAGTGATGCAGACCGGTATGGTAGCTGTTAGAGTGAAGTGGCTGGCATCAAACCAACCATCCCCAAGCTACATCACACTTTCTGCAGAGGCTACACATGATGATGCGGCAGCAGAATTAGGGTGCTGGGGACTGAAGGCTCTCCCAGTGATATGCAATGAATGTGGAGTGGTCGTCTGCCTGTCGGCAGAACCCTGCGAAACATTGCATTATGACTATGTCTTTGCGAACACAGCATTTCAAGGGGGAAGCAATATGCAGGATGTCATCGTGCACACGGACAGGAAAAAGTTGCAGATCAACGAGCTTATGAGTGTTCTTTATCAACTTGGATTCTGGCGAGCCATTATTGAATCTGAGGAGGAAATCTATCCCTCTGTCTTCAAGGTTTGCTTTTTGGACCAAGTTGTTACGATCAACGAAAAGCCTCACAAGCCCCAGAAGAACGTCGACTGGCCGAAGCCACAACCAACTGGTGAGCACACCAGACAACCGTTCTTCCATGATCCATCCCACACAGAAAGTGAACAGCTAGTCGATCTGGGAGTGCAGACCAGCGACCTGCATGAGCTCTTTCTTTCACATCAAGACATACTTTGTCCAGACTTTGAAGGATATGAGCTACCTGAGGAGCTACAAGTTGCAGTTGACCAATGTGACCCCAGCATCACAATGGAGGAGATCGACAGACTACTGGTCTACACTGACGGCTCTTCTCTGGGCTCGGTCAAGCATGCGCCACCTCTGAGGGCAGAAGAAGATGGGACAGGAGACACGTGGGCTTATGTCATTGTTGGCGAGAGATACGCGCCTCCAGGTATCAAGTTCATTGGATGGACAGCACAACAAGTACATTATGATTCGACAAGCAATGCCCATCTTGGGGCAAAACGCCTTGGCGCAGACATTGCGGAGAAGGAAGCACTCTCATGGGCCGCCTTATGGCGGCTGAGTTTCAACCAAAAGACTCCTACCTGCTTTCGTTCCGACTCGAGAGTGGCTCTGGGACAAGCAGCAGGGACAACGGGAGCAGAGGAGATGGATGAGACCTTTGCCTTCTTGCGAGGGGCATTTCAAGCTATTGAGGCAGCGCTGGGAAGAGATGGAGTCCAATATCAACACGTCCCTGGGCATGCTGGGGAAGCATGGAACGAAATCTGTGATTGGCTTGCGAAAAGAGAGCGCCAGCGCAGCTTTTATTGTCCAAGGCCACGAATGGACATGCGAAAATGGAAAGCCGCCATGAGCCACCTTTGGCTCATTGTCGGACAACACGCTGATCTTCCAAGATTTTGCGGGAAAGGACTTCATGCACCAGCTCCACAATTACCTCAACAACATGCTCCAGCAGAGAGTGAAGACACTAGAGGTCAGACAACCACACAGCAATGGGACCTCATGGAATTCACTGTCAGTGCTTGTAGCGCCAACGTCAATTCCCTCAGTGGAGCCCCAGAAGGGCATGGAGGACGTTTGGATTACCTGAGGTCTCAGTTTGCTATGCTTGGCTTCAACTTCCTGGGAGTCCAAGAGTCCAAAACTCCTGAATTTCACTCTTGTGTGAATCAAGTTTTGAGGATGAGTTCAGGTCATCAAAACCATCAACAAGGAGTAGAGCTCTGGATCAACCTGGCACAACCTTATGGGAGCATTCAGGGACGGCAGCAATTCTTTGACCGGCATGACTTTCAAGTTGTTCACAAGTCACCACGAAGCCTGCTAGTGAGTGTTGATACACGCTTCTGGCGATGTTGGCTCTTAGTAGCCTACGCACCACACAGCGGCATTCCACATGCAGAACGAGCGCAATGGTGGCATACTCTATCAGAGGCGCTCCATCACAAACCAGCGACTGATCCCTTGATTGTCATGTTGGACGCAAATGCAGGCCCTGGGGACTATGATGGAGTTGCAGTGCACCAAACTGGCTTTGCGACTTCATCTGGTACATCACTGCTACGTAGTTTTGCAGAAGAACAAGGTCTTTTCTTTCCTTGCACTACGACAGCGCATGTGGGCCCCACTGAAACATGGACGGACCCAACAGGAGAGAAGAGATACTGCATTGACTATGTCTTGTTGACTCATCACTTCAGTGGTCAGTGCCAGGTATCACGTGTTGTGGAGGAGTTTGATTTGGGCAGAACAGCTTGGGACCATGAGGCGACAGCGGTTGAACTTCAATGGCAAGAGTGGCTACAACGCAGGTCAAGAATCAGCCCTGATGGCCTTGGGTTTGACCCTGAGCAGATCAACGGCCAAACAGTCCATTCAGTCCTCTCCACTTATGCACCACCCACATGGGAGACCAATATCGAAGACCACGTGGGCGACTTCAACAAGGTTCTCTTGCGTGGTTTGCGACAGCATTGTCCACCGCCCCGCAGGGGGCCAAAAAAGGCCTACATGACGGAGCAGAGCTGGCAACTACGTGGGAACAAGCTGAAGTTCAAGAAGCAGATCCAACAATTGTTTCGCCGGCAGCGAGATGAAAGGATGATTTTCTTCTTCAAGCCCTGGAGACACCGTAGAACTGACCAGAAGGTTTGGGAAGAGTACCAGTCCTACAACGAGTATCTCTGGAGAGCCAACTTTAAGTTGGTTGGGCAACATCGCAAAGCAATGCTGCAGTTGCGGCAGCATTTGAGCAAAGCCAAACAAGAAACGATCAGGATGAAGTTTGCAGAGATGGATCCCAATGCTCCGGCCAGTGCAATTTTGCATGAGCTCAAACCTCTCTTAGGTCCCTCCAATCTCACAAAACTCAAGGTCTCGCCGCTGCCACAGATACGCAATGCACATGGAGAAGCTTGTTGTCTTCCCAATGAGGCAGTCGAAGCGTGGTTGGAATTCTTCAGGCAAATGGAAGGCGGGACACGTATGGACCGCAGACAACAACGTGATCTTTGGATTGCCAACCTTCAACGTTTTCGGCAACAAGAATTTCACGTCAAGGCCGAAGAGCTTCCAAGACTCATTGACCTTGAAGCGGCATATAGGAGGATCAATCCCTACAAGGCAGTAGGACCAGACAAACTGCATCCCGCCTTTTGCCGGATGAACCCGTCCTTTTTGGCGAGGCTGACTTTCAGCCAGTTGTGGAAGCTGACGCTACATGGGCAGGAGGCACTAGACCACAAAGGTGGCATGCTTTTCCCAATTTGGAAGTCAAAGGGGCCAAAGGATTGCTGTACTTCATACCGAAGTATATTAGTTTCCAGCTTCATTGGCAAGAGTTTACATCGAAGCCTCAGACAAAGGCAGACAGCCCTCTTCGAGCGCTACATGCAAACGGAACAGCTGGGAGGCCGACCCAAAGCGCCGGTCACGCTTGGTGTGCATTTGGGGAGGGCATTCCTACGAGCGAGACGCAGTCAGGGCCACAACGTTGCGATGCTATACCTTGACCTGACGGAAGCGTTTTATCGCATCTTGCGGCCCCTGGTGACAGGTGGCCCGGTGACAGATGAAATGGTGATGCATGTGGGGCGCAAGTTGGGGTTCACGGAGGATCTTCTTGAGGAGCTCTACAAGCATTTGAGTGAGCCGGCGGCGATTGCGGAAGCGAACTTGCCGAAGCACATGCAGATTGCCATCACCGCGTTGCATGAGGACACGTTCTTTACGGTGAAAGGACAAGGTGACGTCTGCAGGACGACGTTGGGGTCGAGGCCGGGCGACTGCTTTGCAGACGTCATATTTTCGTACTTGTGGGGGCGAATTCTCCGACGTCTACAAGCTACGCTCACAGACATGCAGATTGACGACAAGATCCCTGCAGACACAGGCTTGAGTCTGTCGGGCCCGCAATCAGAGCCTTCTCGGTCCTTCTTAGGGCCGACGTGGATGGATGACACATGCGTCTGCGTTTCTGATCCATCACCGCAGAGACTTGAGGCCAAGATCCACCAGGCAACGGGAAGACTTCTAGATCTCTGTGAAACTCATGGGCTTTCACCCAATTTGAGCCCGGGGAAGACAGAGGCACTCTTAGTCTTTCAAGGACGCGGCTCAAGGCAGATGCGCATCAGATACTTTGGGCCCACCTCAGACAGATCTTTGAAGATCATGGGAGAAAAGGGAATCATGAAAGTGAGGGCAGTAGCTCAATACACGCACCTGGGCTGTGTCATTCACCATCAATCTGATCAGAGGAGAGAAGCTCGCAGACGTATTGGGATGGCACATCAGACGTTTACGCAGCACAGACGTCATCTGCTGCAGAATCCAGTGTTGTCCATGCAGAGACGTTTCGAGCTTTTCAAGTCTTTAGTTTGGAGCCGTTTGAGCTACGGAACAGAGACATGGACCTTTTCGGAGGGGCGCACCAAAGAGTACATTCACAATGCAGTGATGAGACTATTGCGTCGTCTACTGGGTCGAGCTCATGATGCCCACCTCATGGACGACGACATCTTGACAGAAGTTGGCGCCAATAGCCCCACGGAGCTCTTGCGCCTATCAAGACTTCGCTATCTGGGAACCCTTCACAAATGCACTCATTTAGTGCCATGGGGATTGATCAATTGTGATCAACAATGGATTGAACTTATCAAGGATGACCTACGATGGCTTTGGATGCAACTGCAAGGTTCCTCACAGCTGCCAGATCCGCAAATCACTATGGCAGTTTGGGAGGACATCTGGCTCCACCATCCTTCATACTGGCGTCGCCTAGTTCGAAGAGGTGGAGAACATGCCATCCTGCAGCGACGGCGCAACCATCGCGTGGTTCAATTCCATCATCGGTTCACACAAGTCTTTGAATCAGTGCACCCAGGAAGTTTCGCAAGGCAAGCACAGGCGAATGAGGAGCTTCAGGAGGCAGCACGGCTTGAGGAACAGCACGCCTGTATGAGTTGTCAACAAACCTTCAGGAGCAAAGGAGGCTTGGGAGCACATCTCTTCAAGAAACATGGCGTGATCTCGCGGCTTCGACTCCTTTTCGACACGACGTGCTGTGGGGCTTGCCTGCGAGAATATCACACGTACAGCAAACTACATGCACATCTTCGACATGCAGCAGCTTGCCGAGAGCAACTATGGGGGAGACGCCAGCGGATGGCACCTGTGGCGGGCAAAGGCTCTGTGGAAGATCGAGAGCTGTGCAACGTGCATGATGGCATACTTCCTCCCCTTCAAGTAGAGGGACCTTGCATTGCAGCAGGAGCGGCAGTGGCGCTACCAGAACATGATCTATGTCTGGCTGAAACCATTTACGAGAAGGTCTTGGAACGTGGCGAAGCAGAGGATATTGACTCTGTAATCCTTCACTCCATCCGGGACTATGTCATCATGTGGGCCTCGTGTAAGGCCACCCTGGGCTATCTCATCGAGAACCTCACGGAGCAGGACCTGGAGATCCTCAACCTGGGGGAGTATGACATGGTGGAGCGCTTGCGGCAACTGCAAAGGGCGGAAAGCTGGCCTTTTCTTTGCTTGACCGGGTCCAGACCAAGGCACCGAGCCTCAACTATGACCCTGGCAGAGATGGAGCAGCAATGTCTGGACGCTGTCGAAGCAGCCAGTACACGACAGAGGTTATGGGGGGTGCCCAGACCGATGGCAAAAGAGCGCTTCATTATCCACGCATTTTCAGGCAGACGCAGAGCCGGAGATTTTCAACATTTCATCGAGCTCATCCAGAAGGACTACCCGAAGATGCTGGTGCACACCATTTCCGTTGACCTGATGGTGGACCCTACATGGGGAGACGTTTCACAACCCAAGGTCAGGGATTTCTGGCTGAGGGCAGTGAAGCAAAGGCAGGTGGTCGGCGCTCTTGCCGGCCCGCCGTGCGAAACCTGGTCCCAGGCCTGTGGTAAGGAATTGCCTTCGGACCCCAAGGGACGTGCGAAAAGAGGCCCCAGGATCGTGCGAGACCTGGCTGACCTTTGGGGTCGTGCGGCCCTGGCGTTGAAAGAAGTTCGCCAGCTGGATGTGGGCAACCTCTTGCTTTTATTCACGCTGGAGCTCCTGATTGAGTTGGCGCTGGCGGATGGCGTAGGTGGGTTGGAGCATCCGGCACCGCCGGCCGATGAGACAAAGGCGAGCATCTGGCGGCTTCCGCTGCTTCAGTTCATCATGGAATGGCCAGAGTTTGAGACCCTCGATATCTCTCAAGGACTCTGGGGAGCCAAGAGCAGGAAACCCACCAGACTCTTGCTTCTCAACCTGAAGAAGATGGTCCCGGAGCTCCGCCGCTGGCAGCTGACCGGCACTTTGCCGACTGGAGTGAGTATTGGTCTCACTGATTCAGGCGAATGGGCCACCAGCGCATTAAAAGAGTATCCACCGGCCTTGTGTGCAGGATTGGCGAGTGGATTTCTCTCATCTCTTCAGGAACATCCTGTGGAGGAAGGGGTCGAGATTGATGGTATCTTCCGGAAGCAAGCACTTGCGATGGTAATCACGCAATATGGTGCTGGAATTGGCCCGGATTTTGCACAGTAGGACATCACCCCCTTGAATTTAGTTTTGCATGGCCGCAGCAGACACTGCTTCCTTGTGCCACAAGGAAAAAATCATATCTGATATCTGATTGGTGGTTTGGAACATGTTTTATCTTTCCATAGGGAACAATCATCCCAACTGACTTTCAGTCCATCATTTTTCAGAGGGGTGGCTCAACCAAACCACCAACCAGATATAGTTCCATATAATCATATATATATATATATTTATATATCATATATCACATAGTTTCTATATAGTTCCATATGGTTCCATGAAATTTATTGGCTACTTTGGTATATCATATATCACATATGGCTCCACAACATCCCCGGGCCCCGGGGCATGACATGTGACAGGCCACCAGATGAAATCCTGGCAGCTCAGCTTTGTGAGGCGCTGCACGATGTGTTTATCTGCACGGAAAAAGGGGCAAACATGGCGATTTATAGTGGATTTATAGTGGAAACATCATGGAGAATCATGGAAACCTGGTGGAAACATGATGGAAAATCCTGGATTTACCCATTGAAAATGATGATTTCATGGGATTTTGGTATGGGATTTATTGGGTTACCCTCTGGTTATGACTAACCGTTTGCCAAGGTATAGATGGCCCATAGAAATAGATGGGCCATACCGTTCTTAAAAATGGGTGGATCTTTCTATGGCTATGTTAGCCATAACCAGATGGTATATAGTACTATAAATAAGATTTTTAGTAAGATGTCCATTTATTGCGCACGGATTTGCGGAGTCCAAAAGCCAGCTATTCGCAGGCTTGTTGGGCCAAATATTCAGGCCAAAAGACTAGACCAAACAAAGTAAACCTCGAAACGGCCTACTGATTATAGGGCTTTGAAAACCCCTGAGCGCTAGTGATCGGCCGCGCCCCAACAAATTTAATTAAGAGCTCAATCGCCTTCACGCTGAGCTCGTGGCTGATGCCAAACTGTATTGAAACTTGGGGCATAAAGATACCAGCTGCAACAAGGTGGCGGCTGGTGGCCAGACCGGAAACACTGGCTTTCCCTAAAAGGTTCATGAGAATTTTCTTGAAATATCGAAAGTCAGCAGCAAAGGTAGGAACACTATAGCTGCCAAAAGAATCACTACCACCAACCGGACCCCCCAACATCTCACGACACAAAACATAGATTTCAAGAAAACTCACTGTCCGCATATGTGATGCGGATTGATCTTGATCAATCAGCCAAGAAAGTAAAAGCTGGCTGACTTGCACAAAACGTGGATCGCACTGATCCTCCAACCAAATTCGGCAGTCCTGTAAAGGCAAAAGCTGCACATGAAAAGTCGCCAAATTTGGGACTGCTTCTATACATTGTTGTATCGGTGAAAGCTCTTCCTCCCTGCTGTCTTCTTGTTCTTCAGAGCTGGTCTGGGAACAATCAAATGCGGCAATCTGTGCATGAAAACCGGTAATCAAAGCAACCCTACGCTTCCAAACCCTACGGAAGCTCACATATTTTTGCCACACCTGATTGAAAAACCGAGGCCTACAAATGTTGGCAATTTTTGCCTGAAAATCAGCCAAATCATTCCAAGTTTTTGTGAAATCGTCTAACGGCCCCAAACTGTCCTGTACATCCACATGACTTGCCACCTTGTGGATATGAATGGTGGCCAAAGAATGTCGCACCAGGTGCTCGACCTGTTTCCACAGGTCAGCATGTTCAAACTTGTCAGGGTCACCCGTACCTTGCAACAACTCACGCAAATGATCAACAGCATTCTGATTGTCAACCCAAAGGTGAAGGTCACCCTCATACCTAACTACCCAAGCTATGGCACTCAGAATGGCTGTCACTTCTCCTCGCATGATGCACTGCTGGATTCCTCTCAATGGTCCCATGCTGATCGGTCCCACGTCGGCCAGAACTACAGACCATGAAGCCAGTGCGTCCTCAGGAGATGTAGGGTTATCGCAACTCCCATCAGTGAACAAATGCCAAACATTGCCAGTAGGCATGAGTTGATACTTCTGAGTCTCATCAGGCAGAGCAGTCAGGGCCTCCCAAACGAGGATCTGCCAAGGATTTTTGGGCACCAAACCTCCAATCTTGAAACAAGTAGGAAGCTCATCCCATTCACGGAACAAATCACTGTGTTGAGCTCGGATATGATCATACCTGGAACATTCAGTGTAACGATGCATCCGAGTGTCGGGCACATTGCACCAGGAACACATCGCAGTCTTTCGTGAATCAAACTTGCATTGGGCACTGTTGGTGAAAAAGGCACCGTCTCTCACAATCATAAGCTGCTCGATCACGGCAGTTGTAAAACGTCCGTCCTGTGAAACGGTCAATCCCAGATCAAAACCTTCCAAATCATCGTAGCCGGTGCGCCTCTGCACCTGACTAGCCACATGGTTCTGGAAAAAATGCAGCAACACACGCTGCAGCAAAGATTCAGAGGCCAGGAAAACGTCAACATACGCACTGTCGGAGTACCAAAGTCTGCCCTCCGCATCGATGTGAAGTCCCAAAACATTGAGTTCCTGCTGGACCTTTCCAAAGGGTCCATTGGTGTCCACATCTGTCAGTTGATCACAGTAAATGCCCCACCAAGCTTTGAGCGTAGGGTTTTTTGCACATTGATGTTTGAAAAGTTTGAGCACCCTCCAAAGTTGCTGCCAAAAAGGGTCAAGCTCGAAATGAAGAAGTCCCAAACGAAGGAGCGGTGAAGCCCCAGGACGATCCCATCTCAGAGCCCTCATTGCTCCAGAGCGCAGCTTTGTCAAATGTGAAGAACCCAGAGCCACGGCTTCAATGCCGTGGAGTGCACGTGGCCACAACACCTGCTTGATGTTGAGCATTTTTGCCGCAATAGGCAGAGGTGCCGCACGGAGTTTGCCGAAGTACGGCTGTACACTGGCTATCCGATCCGTAAGGACTCGGTTTCGAAGCTGCTTTGAGTAAATCACCTGGCCACCTAGATCTCTGTCCCCTAGGCTTATGGTAAATCCCCTTGATCTTAACTCACGACGTCCTGCATAGGTGGAGGCCCAAGCGTACAGTCGAGGGTGGTCGATTTCCAAATCCAACAGAGCACAGAAACGGTCCTGGGCCTCAGCAGCAAGCACCAAGTCGGACACCCGGTCGCAGATCAACTCAAGGTTATCAACAAAACTGACAGGGAGCACACGAGGAACCTGAGAACGCAAGGCCCAATGCCAGAAGAAATCCAAAGCGGTCATAGCCGCACATGCCAGGGGGCACCCCTCAGGAAATCCAGTCACGGACATCAGTGGCTCGCTGACGCATCTGTTGACCACAAAATACCTTTCAAAACCACGCAAGTGAGATTGCCAAGCTTGCAGAAACCAAAGGGGGACTCCAAGGATTTCAAGGCACTTGAAAGTAGGTCGCCTTGGAAGGGTGTTGTAGGCTTTCACCAAATCCGCAACCAAACCATGAACGGGAGTGGCCTGATGAGTGGACAACTCAAGACAGACATTGACGAAAAACCACACATCAGACGCCTGATGACCCTGCATAAACCCACACTGCAAGTCATCAGCCACTTTGGCCAGTTGGGAAAGAATCTGACCCGCTCGGATTCCAGCAAAAAGGCGGTAAAAAATGCTGGTGACAGTGATTGGCCTATATCCATCAACCGTAGTGCTGGAGTCTTTTTTCTGCAGGCAGTGGATAAGTCCAATACTCCACTGGCGTGGCCAGGCATGCCCTGCTTCAATCAAGTGGTACCCCTCAATGAGCTGCTGGATTTGGCCATCAGTGAGGTGCACCAAATCCGCTCTTGTCCAGCTGCAAGGCCCTGTAGCGGCCTTGGATTTGAAGGTATGAACAGCTCGCTTGAAATCTTGGACAGTGATAGGTGGAAGTTGAATCCTACCAGCAGGCAAGGTAGCAACCGCATAGTTGCACACTTGATCCCAAGCATCCTCAGGGACCCCCGCATGCCGATTCCATCGGGGAGACCAAAGCTGATGAAGTCTGTCATGGATCTCCTCTGGTGAAGTGATCATGGTGTGGCAAATCAAGGATTGACCAGAGGCAAGAACCAAGTCAGAGTCTACCTGATAACAACCTTCAACAGCATGAACCCTAGCTGGATGGCCTTGCAAAGTCCATGAGGCCGTGGAAGTAACTGGATAGGGCTGAGAAACTCGAACCAGATTACTTTGGGTATCCACAACTTCGATAGCCTGGTCATGCGTGTCAACCAAACAATCCAACGGTGCTTTGCTGGGCTTCCTTGTGCACGCATAAAGGGATTGGGTGGTGGCAAGCATTTTATTTCTGCAACTTTCTCGCCTTCGTTGAAGCTGCCAGTGCTCATACCGACGATAGTTATGGGCAAAGTCATCAAAGATCAGCTGTGCAACTTGTCGGTCTGGAGGAAGAACAGGCAGAGAGCACGGCGTGCCCTGTTCTTGATAGGGTCGGGACACCCACCACGCAGGAAAACCACCACAGAAACCAGGAGCACGCCAGATGGAACGCCACAGAGCAGCCCTAGACAAGTAGTTGTCTTCAGCCCGAGAAGAGTTGATGGCATGACAATAAGATTGCAAACGTCTCATCTGCTTGTACCAAGCCGCCACAGAGCGATTCAAAAAGCCAGACGCAGGAGCAAGTTCACCAGGTCGAGGAGGCTTGAGAAGTGGGGCATGAAGTTTTCTGGGTCTTGGCTTGGTAAGTGACCCTCTGCCAAAGAAACTGCGATCATTGCGACCAACCTGAGGGGAGATGCTTTGGGAAACACATTGTTCAAAAGAGGCACTCCATCGCCGAAAATCCATGGTAGCGGAGTGAATGGACCCCGGAGTCTCACCTGAAGGAACAGTAGCCAATCCGGCACGCACCACATGTGACGGGTTTGACTGAAAAAGAGGACCCCAATCAGGAGAAGAAATCCAACGATCTTGATTCACTTTATCCCATGGAATATGGCCAGGAAGGCGCCATTGAAGCTCAGCAACCCGAGCAAGCGGAAGAGACAAACCTGCGATG